AGGAGGAGGAGGAGGAGGAGGAGGGGGAGGAGGAGGAAGAGGAGGTGGAGGAGGAGGAGGAGGAGGAGGAGGAGGAGGCGGAGCTTGCACCAGACGCTGCACTAGCAGACGTTGACAAATGCATCAAGTGCGCCACGACTGCACTGCCGACGCCCACGCTCGCGCACTACCGCCTTCCGGACGGAAGTACGCAGCCAGGCGAGCGGGCGTGCCGGCCACTCGCAAGCAATTCTTCATCACCATGTTCCCCCAGTTCTGTTTGGTGGGGCCTCCCTTCCCAGGGCCAGAAGGCGCGCCCCCCACCAAATTACCCTGAGATCCGACGTTGCAGACAAAATTGCAACCGAAGCCCCGGACCCCACCTTGAGCCGGATCGAGCTGTGAGGGTCCCGGGGCCCGAGGCTGGGCGCAAACGCCCAGTGTGAAATAATTGCAACGCCCGGATCTCGGGATGCCCCAATTTGGACCCCATCTGGGAGGCATCGTTCTCAGCCGGGGGGCGGCCCGGCGGCCCGGCGGCAGCGATGCAGGGGCCGCGGGGGGCGGCGCCGCGGCGCCGCGGGAGGAGCGCGCTGCGGCCGCGGAGGGACGCCAGGACCCCCCGGGGCCTCCGGGGAGGGCCGGCGGTAACGGCCGTGATCCAGGCCAATCCCTTCGGAGCTCAAGACCCAGACCCCCTCGCGTTATCAAGCAAAAATCAGGACTGGAGGTCTTTCTCTATTTTCGGCCTCGGGGGGCCCTCCACGGGCCTCGGGACCGTCAAAAAACGACTCAGGATGAGAAACCTATCCTGGGGAATGGGTCCAGGCCTCTGGGGGTCGCGTAATGAAAAAATCATTACGTCGGGGATTTTGGGGCACGGGGGTCAGTGCAAGCTGGGATCAGCCAGGGCGTCGGATCTTGCAGGATCCTGCAGAGCCAGGGCTGCATTGACCCGTGCTTGGGTGCAGGATCCTGCAGGATCCTACAGGATCTTGCAGGATCATGCAAAGCCTGACTGACCCGGGTCTGGAGTGCCCCGGGTCAGTAGATCCCCGAGGCCAAACTTTACTTTTCCCCGTCCCCCCCTCTGCCCAGGTGGCGGCAGCGATCGTGCGTAGGGGAGGGGCCTGCTCCCCCCCCCCTCCACATGCTGGTGCTCGCGCGCGCATGCTGCAGCGATCGCAGCGGCAGCTCCCTCGGGGCCCAGCGCGGACCCCGCTGCTCCCGATGCCCCGACGTCGTGATATTTTTCCACAGCGCCGACCCCCGAAGGGATCTCGACCGCCTCCCCGGGGGCGGATCTTCATGCCGAGTTCGTGTCCCTGGACGGTCCCGATGTCCAGCGGGGGCCCCCAGGGAGCCCTTCGTGTTGTTTGTCTTTCACGACGCGAGGAGGTCTGGGGTTTGTTGGCCCCCTGAAGTGTAAGTCGGGCCTGTCCGTCTGCCAGAGGAGTGCTAAAGCATAGACCCACAAATAGTGCATCCACAAAAACAGATGTTCGCCCGGAATGCCCCTGGAAGAGGACACGCCCGACCTGACCTCAAGTCTAGGCCTCCCAGATGGGGTTCGAGGAGATGGGGTCGGGGGATCGCGCAGCATCGCCGATGTGGAGCCCGATGTTCTCCATGCCGACGGCGCCGAGGCGTTTCATCGGCGATTCTTTAACGATGCGGCGCGGTCCTCAGACTCCGATTGCTCGGGCCCCACGCGGGATGCCCCTGTCGAGGAAGCCGTTCCCGCAAGCGTCGGACCCCATCTGGGAAGCCTCCACCGAGGAAGCTGTTGCTGCGCGTATTCGCGCCGCTCCCGCAAGCCGGACGAGACGTCCCTCGGCGCTCGATCGGACTTCCCCTGAGGTCCGACGTAGCGAACAGAAGATGCCACATCGCGAGCCATCACCACCGCAGCCGCCGACCCCATCTCTCTGCGCCACTCTTCGAGCCGGAGCGATCTCTGAGGCTTCCAGGCCCGAGCCCGGGCGAACACGCCCGTGCTGACGACAATGGCAGCGCCCAGATCTCGGGGTCGGGCGCTGCGATCGGACTCTCGCGCGGAAGGTGTCCTCGCTCTCCATCGGAGCCCTCTTCGATCGGAGCGAGGATGAGGGCTCGCCCTTTACATTGTCGAGGAGGGGCGAGGAGGGGCGAGGAGGAGGGCGACGAGGAGGAGGAGGAGGAGGAGGAGGAGGAGGAGGAGGAGGAGGCGCGAGGCGCGAGGCGCGAGGCGCGAGGAGGAGGAGGAGGCGCGAGGCGCGGCGAGGAGGAGCGAGGAGGAGGAGCGAGCATCGAGCAGGGGGCTCGCCCCCCCCCTCTCCGCTGCCCGAGGACGCTGGACCTCTGGCGCCCGGCGGCCGTGGCGGCGCTCTGCCTGCCCACCGCGGAGCGCCTGCTGCTGCCCGCGGCGGCCTCGGCCCCCGCGGGCCGCCCGCCGCCCCTGCGCGCGCCGCTCGGGGGCCTCGGCCGCGGCGGGCCGGCGGCCGCGCCCGGCGGCGCGGCCAGGCGCGCCCCCTGGGCGAGACCGGAGCTCCCACTCACCGTAAGGCGGGCCCGTGCCCCTGCAAGGGGATATTTCCGACGACAAAATGCGAAATACCCCCCAAAAATAGAAACAAAAAAAAAAAGTCTGGGGACAATTTGTTGCATATGCTTTATCTGTTTGGATTATATATATATATATATATATATATATCGTCGAAAATCCCCCTGTAATTAGGGGGACAGGCCCGACATAATCCCAGCCCCCCTCCTCGCGCTGTGACAAAAGACGTCGACGGGAGGTTCTGCGCCGTTTTCGGCCTCGGGGGGCCCTCACCGGGCCTCGGGGCCGTCAAGAAACGACTCGGGATGAGAAAAACCGGTCCCGGGGAAGGGGTCCAGGCCTCTGGGGGTCGCCTCATGTCGGGGGCGGAAAAGAGGGGGGTGATGACTAGGGGGGGGGGGATATCATGGCGTGGGACATGATATTTCCCCAGATTTCATGGCGTTATTTGATTACGTTCCTGGCCCCCCCGCTGAGCCGCGCACATGCCGCCGGTCATGATTTGCACCCCCCCCTATTGGACACCCCCCTCTTGGCCGCTCCCGAGATGAGAAAAACCGGTCCCGGGGAATGGGTCCAGACCTCTGGGGGTCGCTTCATGAGAAAAGCATGACGTCGGGGATCTGGGACCGAAGCTCGGAGGAGGAAGAGCATGGCATTTTCGCTGCCCCTCCCTCGTGTGTTACCCTCTTTCGGCCTCCTGGGCGGCCCTCGTCGCCCCCGCTGGGCTCGCCGCGAAGTCCTGGTCAGAAAGCGCCCCAGGAGAGGTCTGAGGAGTGGCTGTATCGGTACCTTCTGGCTTCCCGTTTCCCCGGAGACGGAGACTTGCCAGTTTGAAGCATATTCCGACCACTATGTTTGACATCACATCACCTCGGTGCTTCTAAGGATTCGCTCAGTTTCTGCGCGGACAATCTTAGGCCCTAAGATTGTCATCGCCTTTGGCTTGCCGATCTTCGGCATAGGGATAGGGTCGAGGTTGGCTAGGGACACCGCCCAGCATGGGCGGCAAGACCGAGATGGAGACTTCTCTCCAGGGTCTCCACAAGTCCCGACCCTATCACCGAGTCCTTTCCAGAGTGTTCCGGAACACTCTGAGAGGGCAGAGTTTGCCTGCTTCGCGTCTGTAGACACATTGGGTGTCGTCACGTAGTACATAGACACATTCGGGGTGGATGCGTCGTTAGACACGCGGTCGTTGCGTTCGGCGCAGTACGAGGTCCGAGAAAGGGTCGAATAGCGCTCACTCTATGTTCTCATTCCAGGGCAGGCCCCACATGGCACTCCAACTCAGAGCGTCCTGGAGCGCTCTGGAACTACCACGCGATGACCTGACATACTCAATACGGGTCTCCAGAGGTCCCGACCCTTTCCCCCAGGGCCATCTGTTTTTTCATCCTGCGTTTTTGTTGACGGTCCCGGGTCCTGGCAAGGGCCCCCAGAGACCCGAAACGACCAAAAATGTCTGCAGGACGCGAGCGTGTCTGGGGACTCATCCTCCAGATCCGCCAGCTCTCAGAGAGCCCCGCTTGAGCTCTCGGAGATCTGGCGGTTCTGGTCTGGCCTCGTCTTGGCCCTGTCCCTCTGTCTCGGTCCGATGTTCTTCCGACTCCCTGTCTCGGTCCTGGTCCTCCGCTTTCGTCCCGCTCTGTAGGGGCCACACAGAAGAGATGGGGTCGGAGAGGCTCGCGCCGCCTCGCCGATGCCTCGCCGCTGCGGATCGATGCAGATCCTGGCGTTCCAGTTTCCTCGCAGTGGCCCGAAAAGCGCTGGCCCTCTCCGCTTCGCGGCACACTCGCGGCGGGGCGTGCTCGGCTGCCTTCGTCCTCCCGGGGCCCTTGCCGTGCCCTGGGGCCGTCCAGCGGCGGCGAGCGAGGGGGGGAGGGCGCGAGACGCAGCAGGCCCTCTCGGAGGGCGCCGGGGCTCCTCGGAAGCGCTCCTCCCGGCCTCTGGGAGAGGCCGTCTCGGAAGGCCCGGGGGGGACCTGCGAGCCCCCCCGAGAGGGTCCAGCCCCCCCGGGAGCCCCACCGAGATCGGCGCGTGCGAGGGAGCAGGCGCCTCCCCAGGGAGGCGGCGGGGCGCCTCGGAGGCCCGCGCGCTCCTCCCGAGCAGCTCCCCCCGGCGCCCTCGGGGGGAGGGCGCGGAGGACACCGCTCTCGGAGGGCCCGGGGGCCTTCAGAGCCCTCCTGGGGACAGGTCTGCACGAACGAAGTGGGCACGGAAAGGATGGGTAATCCAAAAGCCCTAAATAAAGATTTGAATCTCCCTAAATAAATATTTGAATCTCAAAGTTTAAGCGCATCCCCATGGCGGTTCTGCAACGGCTGCAGCAGCCGTTGCAGCGCTCCTGGGGTTCTGCACCTCCCAACCCTCGGAATGCGAAAAAGGTATGTTTTTGCCCAACTGCAGTTCCTGTCCATTTTGAACAGGACTCGCTGTCCGCGGCGCCGCGGCCTGTGTCCATTCGAGACAGGAGGCCGCCTGCCCAACAGCGGCCGCGATTGGTTTGGGACAAGATTTGTTGCTGGGCATCGTGCCCATTCTTTCCGTACCCATGTCGGGCGTCCAAATTCAGAGCCCTTTGGGAATAGGGGGACGAACAAGGACTCGGGGCTGGACAGTCCTCCTACCCTGACGCGACGATTCAGGAATTGGCCGTTTTCTGTTCGTGAGAGAGCGCTGCGGCCGTCCTTTCCGCGGGTCCAGGTCCGTCGGTTTCGGTCCCAGGCCGTTTTCACTAAGGGGATGTTTACGAAAGGGAGGTTTGTCCACCGCCGAGCCTTCTGAGAATAGGGGGACGAACAATGACACAAGGCATCAAAACTCGGAGGTCCGCGCGGACCTCCGAGTTTTTATGCTTGTGTCATTGTTTGTTTCCCTGTGCCTTCAGGTCTTCCGAGAAGGCCCGCCTCCTTCTCACTTGCCCCCCGGGGCTCGCGGCCGAGCCTTGCCAGCCGGCAGTGTTCCGGGGTCCGACGCTGGCATTGCTGCACTTTTGTTGGCAGCGTCGCATCTCATGGAGACCGAGATTGGGGACTCCGGGGCAGCGACCCCCAAGTCTCGTGGGTGCAACAGATATCAGGAGGGGAAAAAACACACAGACACAATTAATCGTCGATTTTCAGGAAAATATTGGAAGATATGGGAAGTGGGGGGGAAGACACAAACCCAGGAAAATATAGGAGAATATGGGGAATATTTTTATTTGTGTGTATTGATTTGTGTGTCCCAGGGCCCCTTCAAGATAGCTGCATCCGCGGCCTCGCGGGCCTGGCTCCTGGGCCGTGTTCCTCACGGACACGAGGCGTTTTGTTCGCGGGTGCCCCGCGCGGAACGCCTCCGTGCGAGCGCACATCCGTGGGATCGCGCCCCGGCTTCCAGACCGCGAGTGCGCGGGGACGGACATGTCCGCC